ATGCTCTCTCTGCTTTTCCTTACTCGCTACAAGCATACTGAGTGTGAGGGATTGTATTTGAGTCAATGAGTCGATGCAATCAACTGGTTTTCCTTAGATAGAAAACTTTGAATCAATTTGACTGGATGATCTGGTTGAAATGTAAAGTGCCTTGAGATGGCATGTGTTGTGAATATGGCGCTATATAAATAAACTGAATTTAATTGAATTACTTTGTAATGTAGGATTCCGAACAGTGGCCTGAACTAGATCTACATAGATCCAGAAAGTCTAGTTCTTTGGATGTGAGTATCTCTACCTGTTTAGAGTTGGTGAGATAGAGCTTTGCAGCCAGATTTAGGATCTGTAGCTTCACAATGTCCTCTTCATTGGTAAACGACTTGGCCATCTTCCTCAAGACATCTGGAGCGATCTTTGGCACGTGCTCACAGTATTCTCCAATCAGCCACAGGATACTGGCTCGGGCCATCGGAACCTGGAAAACAGAGATATCTATCTGTGAAGCAGAGCTTTAAGCTATGGTAACAGAGGCGATGCACAAGCAAAAGGCAGAGTGACTCGCCTGGATGTTGTCGGTGAGTTTGGCCATGTGCTTGATGATGTCGCTGTGCTTTTCTGGCTGCATCTGTAGCAGCTTCTTGATGACAACCACTGACTCGGCTACCACCAGCTCTTTACAACAAGACAAGTCAAACATTTGCATCAGAGGAGGAAAACTAATATTAAAACTTAGACTCTTACCTGGGTAGGTTTGCTATTTATCTCAGGACTGTACCATATTTGGAAAACATGTTATAACCTTTATGTAATAGGGTTTGTCATAGAGAAGCAGCCTAATAGTATAAATGTGTTACTGTTTTTCTTTCTTTGAAAAAGCTGCTTTTTGAGACAATGTGTTTGGTAAATTACTTCACCACCAAACTCTTTTCCCTTTAAAAACATTTTTCAGTTGAGTCAAAAAACTAAAGTCTCAAAATATGTTACTGACATTCAGAGCCTGAATCTATGGTACCTATAAATAATTAACATTTATTGTACTTCAACCTGTTCTTTTAGATTTACAAATATATTGTGTCCTATGTTACTGACGTGAAAGTAACATAGCAATAAATAAAGTAAGAATAAAAGTAGTAATAAAATCTGTTTAAAGTAAAGTAATACTTTATTATCCTGTTTTCTGCAGAACATACCACTTTAGAAGGCGTTTGATCTTTTAACTCTTACCATCTCGATTGGACAGCAGCTGCACCAGACCGTTCAAACACGTGTCTCTGACTTCTCCGATGTTGGTGGCACAGCGACCGATAGCCTGAATTGTTGCAGCCACGAAATCTTTGTCCATACTTTTAATGTAAGTCTGTGAGAAACATGTTAAACAAGGTTGTTGTTTGTGCATCCCTAAGAACATTGTTACTAAACTGTTACTACTAGTATTAGGTTACCTGAAATTCCCTGAGGATGGTGGAAATGTTTGTCTCATTGGCCAGATTTGTAAGGACCTCCAGCTGTCAAATAAACAACAATAAAATGGGTTTCAAGGCTGAATTCTAATAGATTCTTTGGGTTTACAGGTTGAGGGGGACAGGGAGGAACCTTTAGGATTTTTATCTGAGTTGGGTCTGTGGAGCGGATGTAGAAGCTCTTCAGGTATGGTTCAAACATGCCCTGCAAGGCACACACCAAGAAAATCCTAGATGTGTCAGAGTTTCAAATAAATAAAAAATAAAAAGGCAAAGTAAGTTTGGAGCGACAAGTGAGACTTACCCGCCTTTTAATGGTCATGGTTGCCACATTCTGAAGAACTACGTACTGGACTTCACTGATGGAACAAAAAATCAGAGAGGTGGACGTTAATGATGTGCAGTACTTTCATCCCTTGGTAGAACTAAAACAGCAACATTATCACGCTGGAAATCCACAGCTTCAAAAAGCAGAATGAAGAGCCATTAGCATTGCCAACTTCTTAGCAATCAACGTAGAGCTTATAGGATCTAAAAACCTTTTGTGAAGTTTAGATTAAATGAATGCAATAGGGTTTACAGCAGAGATTTACATTTTGCAAATAAGGATAAAACATGTCTGGAAGGATGATTGAAACATCATGCAGCTCGAACTGGTTCCTTCAAGTTCAGTTTTTAAACAAAAACATGTTTGAGAGACGGCCCTGTCCAAAACTCTTTGAACGAAACTCCTCTAGTGATGCACCAAGATCAGCTGATATAATTAAAGTAGGTAAAGAAATGCTATAATGAATGGTACATATACATGCATATTTAAATGTACTGAACTGTATTCTAGGCCATGCACAACATTTTTCAACATTTATGATGACTTTCGCTTTCTGTCTGCCAGAGTTCCACGTACTTCACTGGAAATGCACTTTAATGTTCTCTACCAACAAGTCTTATTAAAACACAGAGGTTAAAGTTAAGTTAGCCTAACATTTCAGCAGAGAGCTCAGCATGACAACATCAACAGAAAGAAATCAGTTAATTGAAGTCAGAAGCTTTAAGTGTCAAATCTGTAAATTCAAGGCTCTTTCAGGGACTCTGCTGCAACAGCATATCTGTTGATGTGAGGAAAACAGTAATAAACATAGATGAACACTATTGTAATTAGGCTAAAAGACATTTATTGTCATAATCCTAGCACTGATGGTTGGCTTTTTTCACCTGCCCCTGCTCACCTGTCTAATCGGCCTCTCGGCTGATTACCGCAGATCTTTCTCACCTGGTTCCCGCAGCTATTTATGCTGTTTGCTTGCCTGCCATTAGCACCGGATTATTGTAGCTGTTTCGGTGACAGTAACTCTAGGGTTAAAGTAAGTGTTTTAACATTTTTAATGCTGACCCCTTTCTGCCTCTTGATAATTATAATTTTTTTTGCCTGTTTCCTGTCTGCTCTATTCAGTTTGATTTTTGGACTGGCTTCCTGGATTCTGCTGGTTACCAGACAACTAACCTCAGCTTGGATTCTCCTTGGATACCTTTTCAGCTCTCTAATCTTCTGGTTTGTGAAACTGGTTTGGACTGTTCTTAGGCTTTGGATAATCCCTGACAGACACTGTTGCTTGCTCGGCGTCAACGACCACAGTGGTGGGCAATCTCCCCCCCAGGTTCCTCCTAAATCTCTAGATTGGACTGAACTCTCAACCAGAGAATCCGATAACCCGCCCTGAACAAGTTCTGCCGCTCTTTTTTTCTTTTAAAAAATAAACTTGTTTCAAACTGTCCTGTTTGTCTGCTGAATATTGTGTCCAAGAATCTGCGTTTGTTACATTTATTCTGCTATCTAAATGTGCTGTAAAGCCTCTAAGTTTTAAAACAGGTATCATCTTTAAAAAAGGATTTCCTTTAAAAAAGGAAAATATCTTTAGATTGCTATCAGGGAGAAAAATATCCTAAAAGAAGTATTCCTATACATTCCAAAAAGCTGTTTAATTTACACATCTTCGTTTTTATCCACATATTAACCTTACCGTTAATAATTTAATGTACTTAAACATGTTACTATAAAATCTCAGACTGAAGACATCCTGCAGAATGGAGTTAAATACAATCCTATTGTCCAGTTCAGTGAATTTCTGACACAGAAATGCAGTTGAAATAAATCTTGTTGAATGATGACTCCATTTAACCCAGAACCATTTGCTTAATAAGAAGCTTGACAGACTTACAGCCCAGAGGCTGCCTATGTGCTGTCATCTCTCTGCATGGTTTATGGTTCCTGTTCATTTCTCTTTGCTGCTTTGGGGCCTAACTGATTTATTCTTCCTTCCTTCCTTTTCTTATTTTTCTGTTGTCTTCTGCTTTAGAGGGTTTACTGCTTTAGAGGGTTTCAAGCTTTATATTCTCTTGTGAAGCTCTTCACTGTTTTCTTTATGATTCACCTTTTTGTCAGTTACTTGCAAAAGGAATCACAGTTTTGTGAAATGAGAGCAAACATCACATTTCAATTCAGTTTTCAATTCAATTTATTTATATAGCGCCAAATTCACAACACATGTCACCTCAAGGCACTTTCCAGTTCAACCAGATCATCCAGTCAAATTGATTCAAAGTTTTCTATCTAAGGAAAACCAGTTGATTGCATCGACTCATTGACTCACAGGGACCCTGGAGGAGCTGCACGGATCAAGTGAGACAATCTGCTGATACGTGTCAAAACTAAGCTGTATGGAGGAGTGGTGAAAGGGAAGGCATTGTTGCAAAAAACATTATGAGAACTGAAATATAAAAGGCACAAAAATGTCAGACTTTTCTGGAAGCTAGGGAAGTTAACAAATGGTCAATTTACAAAGAATTGTCTAGTAATTATTAGTTTATCATTTCTTCCATTTGAATAACTGATAATGTCTGCTCCAGAGGAATTTTTTTCACGGTTGTAATGATACTGATGTTGAATAAAGGGAGTCTCTGTTCATTTTTAAGCTGAGCCTATTTGCAGCAGAAGTAATACAGGAGCAGAGGCGAGGAAGAACACCAACATGAATGGATCCAGAACTACAAGCTACACCAACGTAGCATCTCTAGACCTCCTGCGTTACATTGACGTACAGTCTACTGTGTATATACTATATAGCTATATACTATATATTGTATGTAGTATATTGTATGTTTTATATTGTAGGTCTATATAGCACGGGTCAGCAACTCGCGACTCCAAAGCTGCATGCAGCTCATTTGGAACAACCCTGGAGCTTTATCAAAAATATATGAACATTGATTTTTTTGTTTGTTTATATTAATATGGTGTGCCGGAGGTCAAATAAACATTCTTTATGTTTTCCAATGCTGGAAACATTTGTATAATAAATACAGGGGCTAATACACTTAGAGCCCGTGTTGCCATATGAGGCTTATATAAGACATTTACATTTTTGCAGCTTCAGACAGATTTGGTTATTTTTGGTCCTCTTTGAGCAGTTTGGGCTGGCAACCCCTGGTATATAGCTATAGATTCTGTATTCTGTAAATATATCTAATTTATCTGCACCATCAACACCAAGTCAAATGTAAGTGAAAACCTACTTGGCAATAAACTTGATTCTGTTTAATGGTGACAAGGATGCAGAACACACTTTATACGTTTCAGTTGGTAAATATAAACACTCTATCAACTCTTTAAGTTAGCACCTAAATAGCTTCTACTTAGCCATGCGTTGACTTCCCTGCTGGGCTCTGATGATGAGGATTTGATGACAGAAACATGGAGGGCATTAGGAAAAATGTTTGTGACATGATAGAAAAAGACATGCTAGCAATTAGATTGGGAAGGCTTTTGTGTGTGTTAACGCACTTCATGGAGCCAAGTTTTGACATTTCTCTGAGAGCAACCAGAACCCCCCCCATTTAAAGGTGCTGATTGCAGCACAAAGTCTCCCAGCACTGTTGCTAGGTTATACTTACGCAGGGTGCTATGTCACAGTTAGCGTTCACTTCACTGAAACAAACACCCTTTTTCCAGTGGCCGAAGAACCCGTTTGATCCTGGGAACAATCAGCTTTTAGTGGCAGTGGGAACAGCTCACTGAAGCGTATCATATCAAGCGACCTGCGTTAATATCACCTCGCCTCTCATCAGCATGTTAAATTGCGTAACACCATTGAACGCAACACCATTTGCTTCTCATCTAAGAAGCAGAAACAACTCTCTGTGGTTGGATTTCAGAGGGAAAAAATAGAGAAACAATAGAGCACACTGACTACGCCCTGGCTTCCTTACATGTTGCTTTCCATTGTTTACTTTCCTGATTTCTGTCTTACTTGTGACATAACCAAGGCTAACCCAGCGGGATGGTGTCACCAGACATGAGGCCATAGATCATCGATAGATCATAGACAGAGGCCATGCAGTTTTCCAATGAGGGGTTAGACCAGCTTTTTTTGCCAATGGAAAAGGAGCAAAGAGGCTAAAAAGACAAATACCCTGACAGTATGTAAGGGCAACATACCATGTCTTTAAATTATAGTTTTACATCCCTGTTCATTGGAAAGGGTGTGTAACAAATTGTATTCATATTTTTTTCAGTCGCCTAACAGATTCCTCTTCTGTTATATTTTATGAATTAGTTTAATGAAGTATCTAATAAAGCTAGTAAAATTAATTGGTAAATTAATGCACAAGTTTTTGATACAGGATTTTGAAAAAAATAATTTAGCCCTTCTTATAATGAAATGATCCTCTGGACACAAAAGAAAAATCTGGTTTTTAAGAAAATACCTGCTTATCATTAATCTTTAGGTGACTGATAAGATCATTTAGTTTGAGGGATTGCCTTTGAGTCAATGAGTCGACCCAGTGTCGATTGTCCTTAGATAGAAAACTTTGAATCAATTAGACTGTACGATCTGGTTGAACTGTAAAGTGCCTTGAGATGACATGTCTTGTGAATTGGCGCTATATAAATAAACTGAATTGTGTTTAATTTAACTTTAGATTATTTCAATAGTCGATGACTTATACCCCAATTCAAACTCATGATCCTGAAAACACCATTACAGCTGTGAAACATGGTCATGGCTGCATCAAGCTGGAGGGATAATTTCCTTAGGAGAATAAAGGAAACTTAGTCAAAGTTGAAGGGACGATAGATGGAGCTAAACACTGAGCAAACTGAAAAAATAAAGAACAAATAGATTCTTAAACCCCAGTCGGCCTCAGCAGATGGCCGCTCACGCTGAGCCTGGTTCTGCTGGAGGTTTCTTCCTGTTAAAAGGGAGTTTTTCCTCTCCACTGTCGCTACAAGCATGCTTAGTGTGAGGGATTGCTGAAGAGTCAATGAGTCGATGCAATCAACTGGTTTTCCTTAGATAGAAAACTTTGAATCAATCTGACATGATGATCTGGTGAACTGTAAAGTGCCTTAAGATGACATGTGTTGTGAATTGGCGCTATATAAATAAACTGAATCAAAAGGAATTGAATTGCAGAGAAAACTGAAACCAAATTAACACAACAAGGCTAAAGGTGCAACCAGAGGGAGAATGGAATACCTCACATCGATCATAGTTATGTGGTAGAATGGTCCCTTCAAAGTTCAGACTGAAAGCAATTAAGAATCTGTTGCAAAACTTTGATTGAATCGATGCTCACATGCACTCTCCATCACATCTGAATTATCTTTAGCAACTTTGCAAAAAAAAAAGCAACAGTTTCAATCTTCAGATGTGCAAAGTTGGTCCTGGCATACCCTAGAAAGGTTGAAGCTGCAATCGAGGGAAAAAAAGAGGATTTTAAAAAGTGCCAATAAATAAAAATGGACAGATCAATTTTTTCAACAGATCAACTTCACTGTGTTAAAATCCAACATATAACACCTGTTGGTCCGTCTATTAAAAACCATTAAATCACCATGAAATAACGTGGCCAAAACAGCAAAAGTGGTGTAAATGCTTTTGCGCTATGCAGTTTATTCATTAAAATAATTGGATATAAATGACTAGTTTGATTATATGCAGGATTTTCTCTTTTTTTTAATTAGTTTTAGGCTCTAGTGGCCTTTATTTAGGCAGACAGGAAATGGGGGTCGAGAAGGGGGAAAGGCAAAGGTGCTGGAAGCTGTGACAGTCGGAAAGAGGACTGTAATATGTAATGTGTAATATGTATGAGGGTTGTGTGCTTTTAACCGCATCCCGTATCTTTTCTGAATGGAGAACTATAGAGAGCTCACCTGTGGCTCCTAAGCAGACGGACCAATGCTTTGGCAATCACACCCACTTCTGCTTTCGGGGCCAGATGGAAATACAACTGAGCCACGGCCATCACCACCTGGAATAAACAAGAAGGTTATGTGAACAATAATAATCCTTTTCCAGCTGGTTGATTTTGCCTCCATCTACGTATCTGAATTGGAAACAAGCACTGGCTTTTTTTTTTACAGTTCTGTTTCCTGTGATGTGGAAAATGTCTGGTTTACATAGCAAATGTGTTAATCAGACATCCCTGTTTTGTTTTCTGTATTCTGCTCTAAGGTTTAAGAAAGGAATGAATAGTCTGTGGATGCATTCAGTAAAAAAAATATCTATATTTCTGCTGTTAGCAGAGGAGTCCTCCACAGCAGTCTGACTTTATAAAATGGCTACTTCTCCAAGACATGTCTGATTAAGGTGTTTAACGAGCTGGTGTCTGACAGCCTGCTCATTTGGAGCTGGAGAGCAGTCCTATAAAATGTACCAACTGTTTCTAGAGAAATGGATATTAAAGCAAATCAACATTTGTAATAATTTGTTAGTCAGTAAATTTCAAGATAAGTCTGAAGTTCACAGAATAATAAAAAGTGTGTGTATGCTTTTATTTTATCGCTCTAATAGAAGGAATAAAAAGTGTGAACCAGACTTTAAAAAATGTCTTTCAGAATATCTTCAATTTCCCTCATAGGTGAAAATTATCTCAGATGGTTCTCTGCTCCAAAATCCTTGAAATGGAGGATTAGAGGTGTTAAAAGTATTAAAGTTGATGATTCAACTAGAAGTAGAAATTGCACTGTTTAAAAATGCTTGTTAGAAATTAGGGGATCAAATTAAGCTTTTTACTCACGTAAAAGTGTAAAAGTAACATTTTTATAAGTACTTAAAGTATAAAAGTAAAAATAACGCAGGAAAACTACTTAAAAAGAAAACTGTTTCAGACAGAAACTTTAAACCCCATACTGTTACTGCACAGCCCTATTAAACGAAGATTTTTCTACAATTGAGGATGATAAATTTGCATCATCTCGAAAAACGATTTATTTTGGTATTTGGCGAACAACATGTTGGTGCAGCACCGAGTCCATCCAAAAAGGAAATTAGTTGTCTGGATGAAACTAAATACTTTTATGGTTTTTATCATTTTAAATACCGGTAATAAGGAAAAAGAGCCTAAAAAAAAAAAAAGAAACTATTTTTAAAATGTAAGGAGTAGAAAGAAGAAATAATTGTAAAAAAAAAAAAAAAAATGTAAGGCGTAGGAGCAGAGGCGTGCACAGACATTTTGGGGGGCAGGTGCTCAGGAGGGGGGGGAGGGCACTTTTTAGCGCATGTGTAACACTTAATTATAAAAAAAAATAAACGCATGTTGAATGAAATTTGACTTTTAT